TAACTGTTGAACAAATTAACAATTGATATGAGGCGTTGCTCTGGATATGTGAATATAAATGCAGCCGCATCTACCAAAGCGCTTGTTGGTACGATGCCAACGTAACACTCGTCCAAAAATGCTCGTCTAGTGCCATGCAGAACAAAGGCCTTTTGCAGGTTTTTTTGGTTTGATTACTTTGGCTTTTTGTCATTTTCTCGTTATATAACACCCGCTCCAATATTTTCAAGAAAATGCCAATTTGTCGTGCCTTATGCCTCAACCCGAAAAAAAACCTTGTGCTTTTTGTATTCCAAGTTGTGAGAATCACCAAGATGAGTGAGTGACATTCTTCACATACAGCCATCAAACGATGAACTGACAGTGACCCTCATAACGTGAAATAAAAGGAAGCATTTGTCGATGATAGAATGTTTTTGGGATAAAACCATGAAATAGGCGGTACAGGGCACGTAAACTGTCATTATAAAGTAGATTCAACGCCAAACTGCTGTATGGCAACTGTGATCATTATTACTTGCACAACACCAAAGACGGTCTCTGCTTGTGCTAGCTTATGTTGAATGAGTTTTGATCTTGTCAAATAAGAATATGAAAATTTCATTCCATTCTTTTCAGTTATGTTGGTCAACCGGATCGCATTCCATTTTCTTTTCCAGACAACGAGTTGAACAGGTTTCTGGTTGATGTGAATACGGTACGATTTTTTGAATAGGTTTACACTGTATCATTGGTAACGGGTGCATGTATCATAGCATTTTTACTCATACTTTAATATTTCTGAGGTTGAGGAGAAACGTCTTTGAGTGTGGGGAAGTTAATTTTTAATGATTCGTTACAAAATGAGCGCCATGGTACTGGCTCGTTTGTTGAAACCTGGACGTTCGCGCAAAATTACCTCGTTAGTACAAGAATGCTGAGTTGTGGGCAAAAGTCGTGCCCCAGGCGGGAGTCGATACGGTGGCGTAACGGATAGCGCACTCGCCCGGAAAGCGTGAGGTGCGGGTTCGACTCCCGCGCCGGGCCGCGGGACTTTTTGCGACGTCCAGGTTTCAACAAACGAGCCAGTACCATGGCGCTCATTGTAACGAATCATTAAAATGAACTTCCTACACTCAAAGACGTTCCTCTCAACCTTCAGAATATTAAAGTTAAAAATGTATGAAAATGCACCAGTTACAATGAGTACAGGTAAACCTATCAAAAAATCGTACCGTATTCATCATCAACCAGAAACCTGTTCAACTCGTTGTCTGGAAAAGAAAATGGAATGCGATCCGGTTGACCAACATAACTGAAAAGAATGGAATGAAATTTTCATATTCTTATTTGACAAGATCAAAACTCATTCAACATAAGCTAGCACAAGCAGAGACCGTCTTTGGTTGTTGTAACAAGTAATAATGATCAGTTGACTCGATACAGCACTTTGGCGTTGAATCTACTTGATCATGACATTTTACGTCTTGTACCGCCTAGTTTTATCCCAAAAACATTCTACCATCGACCAAATGCTTCCTTTTATTTCACGTTATGAGGGTCACTGTCAGTTCATCGTTTGATGGCTGTATGTGAAGAATGTCACTCACTCATCTTGGTGATTCTCACAACTTGGAATACAAAAAGCACACGGTTTTTTTTTCCGGGTTGAGGCATAAGGCACGACAAAATTGGCATTTTCTTGAAAATATTGGAGCGGGTGTTATATAACGAGAAAATGACAAAAAGCAAAGTAAAACGGCCAAAAAACCTT